CCCCTCAGCAGTGTACTTCGTCGATCTGCCTGTTCTGCTCCCCGCTCTGTCTCTGGTGAATCCTCTCACCCTCCGCATCTCTGACCTGTACCCCAGTTCTGTACGAATAAATAAATCTTTAAAAAAAAATACATTTGAAATTCCTTTTGCTATGAAGATTAATAATTTTAGTACTGGGATACTTTATTCTTTATATAGTGTCAACAGTGTGTCTTATCCTTTTTGTAATATTACATTTTAATATAGATTATATTAACTATATAAAACTTTAAAATAGTTTAATAAAGTAATACATCAGTTATACATGTACTTAAGATGATATCTTTTAAAGTTACCTATTTGGTTACATTACAGGAAAAAAATATATGTATGTAAAATTCTATGTATTTACATATATGTGCATATACAAATATACGTATATGTACCTATATATATTCATTCAGAGAAGTTGAAGACAAAAGTATCTCTTGTCAAAAGAAAGTTCCAAAATAGAAAATTCTTTAAATGCAGCATTGGCAGTAATTCATACTGTCAGAAAAGCTTATAGAATAAGCCCTCTCTTTGTCACCCCTTACAAAAACCTATCACCAATTCTTGCGTAAGCCTTCTGAGGCAGAAACTTAATGTGTCTTCTCAGAAGCAAAGAAATTGTAAAATTGAAAATTGAAAATTACAAATGAATAACATTTTATAAAAGTGTTCTTTTAATTTGAGGCATATTTTTATAAAATCTATTCTTTATAAGCACAAGAAATTCTGAATCACTGCTTTGTGAAGAAGGTTCCCTACATACTACTCTAGGGAAGATCATTAGTTGGGGGAGGGAAGACAACAAGGGACATCATGCTTCATGAGGATAATAGTATGGAAATAAATAGTCTAGCAAACACAGTATTCTTTGGTGACATTACTTATATGAATGCAGGAACCATGAGATTAAATCTGTTATTATTTTTTTAAAGATTTATTTATTTATTCATACAGAACTGGGGTACAGGCCAGAGATGTGGAGGGTGAGAGGATTCACCAGAGACAGAGCGGGGAGCAGAACAGGCAGATCAGCGAAGTACACTGCTGAGGGGAGCAGTGGGTGGGTCAGGAAAGGTCTGCCATGCCATGTGGATCTCCTCCGGGGCGGGCAGGCGGGAATCGAACTCATGCGGAAGTGGCTTAAGCTTCTTGATGCAGTGCTTTAACCCGCTGCACCACCAGGGAGGGCCAAAATCTGTTATTTATTATAACTATAGGTCACTCTTTTATTGTTTGTTTTGATTCAACTGTTTTGTTGTTGTTGTTTGCTTTTTTAAAGATTCATTTATTTATGCATACAGAACTGAGGTGTAGGCCAGAGCTGCAGGTGCAGTGAGAGGATTCACCAGAGACAAAGTGGCGAGTAGAAAAAGCAGATTGATAAAGTACACTGCTGAGGGGAGCAGCGGGCGGGTCAGGAGAGGTCTGCCGTGCCATGTGGGTCACCTCTGTGGCTTGGGATCCAGGTGGCACTGAAGTGGCTGCTGCTTGCCTACAGTGCTGTGCTTTCACCCTTTATGCTACCAGAGAAGG